AGCACTAGCCGCACACATTTATCAAAACATGTGCCAAACATGTGCTATGGTTTTATTACGTCATATTTGACAGCGGAAACGTCAAGTTTAAATAAACCCTTAAACGTCATTTAGCGTTAGCATAATGTCTTGCTCAGGGTCTTGCTAGTCAACAAAACACTAACCTTACCACATCTGTGGTTTTGCGGAACGCCAGAAATTTTACGTGCGCAGCTGAGACACTGAGTGGTGCTTTGTGTACTCTTAAAGTTTCCTAATGCAGTAAATGCTGGCTAGTTTGTCTAGTTTGGTTACAGTGGTTACTAGATAATGGCGGAATGCAGTGGAGTAAAGAAAGGTATGAAAATGATTTATTAATTTAAATGAGATGACGAATTCAGTGCCGTAGCCAGAACGATAATTGGGGGGCAAATATTCATATATTCGTGTTCACATACCATAAAAACAATTGATTTCAAAAGAAATTAATAAAGCAGAACACAAATATATGAATATTTCCCAATTATCGTTCTGGCTACGGCACTGGACGAATTCCAAGCTCAAAACCCTTTACCCCAATTACCCCTGAAAAATTTCTATCTCAATTCTCAAACCTCTTTACCCCTGATTGAAGAATTCCAAGCTCAAAACCTTTTACCCTTGAAGAAATCCAAGCTTTAACCTTGGAGAATTCCAAGCTCAAAAGTCAAAACTCTTTACCCTTGAAGAATTCCAAGCCCTGAAAAAGTTCAATCCCAAACCTCTTGTCCTCTTTACCCCTGAAGAATTCCAAGCTCAAAACCCTTTACCCTTGAAGAATCCCAAGCTCAAAACCCTTTACCCTTGAAGAATTCCAAGCTCAAAACCCCTTTATACCCCTGAAGAATTCCAGGGATCCTCGACAGGGGGAGTACGGATATTTAGTGGAATAGCCCAACATACCACTGAAACTGCATGAATAAAATATGTGGAAGTCACAAGTCGAATAGTTGTTCGAATTCATGCAGATGTAGACATGCAGCAGTGCAAACCTCTTCCTTACATGGTCTAGATATATATAGCCATCATGGCCTAGTCCACTAGGGGTGGTGTGCCCATTGAGATACAGGAAAACTCCTTGCATTTGCATAAAATAGTCGCTATAAGATCCATAACTATCTTAATTTAATATAAGGCAGTAAGCCAATCTTGTATTAATTATTTAATTTTCCCAGGGTCTCTTCTGGACAGCAATATGCTGCCCCTGAGAATGAAAAACAATCAATACATGGCTATGTTAATTTAACTAGTACCTAAATTAGGCTACCATTCTTGGTGCTTATTAAATATACCCTACCGTAACCCTGTATATTAATGTCATATAATATAGACTTTGGATTTATTGGTTGCACATGCATATACCGAAAAAATGCCATCATCTTAGTCTGACATGACATGATCAATAGATTGATAGTCATTGGCCTTATATAGTACCACCAGATTTTTAAATACAGCCACTGAGTCACATGTGAGAGATAGATTTTAGATATTAATACTATTAGCATACAAGAGCCCCCCCCCCCCATAATTTTTTATTCGGGCAGATTCTACTTAAAAATCGGGTACAGCTTAAAATCAGGCAATTCTATTGAAAAATTTAGCAATTGTACTTTAATTTTAAAATCATGCTTGAAGGAAAAGAATTGCAATCATGGATCTTAATTAAAATAAAAAATGAAGAAATTTGCAATCTTGGGGAAATGTATTTTTTGCTGCTAGAGATCAACTTATGAACATTTTATTTTATGGCCTTTTTTAACTATATAACTGGGGGGAATTCCTGGTTCCACCTCTGAGTCCCATATAAAAAGATCTACTGCTGAGTGTCTCAATCTTGAATGCTGCAAAAAAAATTTGTAACTAGAAAGGAGTGGAATATCCAGTGTTTCTCTGATACTAGATTCATCTCCTCATGACTGCAATATTTTTAGATCATGGTTTTCCAGGGCATCAAGTTGTTCAATCTCCTACAATTAACAGTCTTGCTGAAATTGCCAAAGATTTGAATATTGATTTGGATGACAGTGAATTGAAAGAATACCAAGGTGTGTTTTTCACAATTGCAGAGTGTCAGAGAGACAGATTTAATGACAGACAAATACTAATTGTGAACCATTACCCTGAAAGTGTTTTTCAGCTGTGTGACCTGGGGATGGGGTGTAAGTAAATGAAAATGAAAGCAAGCCTTGCTAAGGGATTTTGTGGAGGTCCAGCCAAATTTCGTTTTGATCTAGGGCCCTATAACAGTGCTATGTTGGGTAGGGTACCTTTAATAGGGCTCAATCTTTGAAGGAAGGGCCTGTACAAATTTACAGTTAAGTAAGAAATTTGATAAGGTCCTGTTTCAAGAATTGATTTTTGGTACCATCTCAAATGAAAAGCCTGGGCCCTGTCAGGTTGCGGACCCTGTCAGGTTGCGGGCCCTGTCAGGTTGCGGGCCCTGTCAGGTTGCGGGCCCTGTCAGGTTGCGGGCCCTGTCAGGTTGCGGGCCCTGTCAGGTTGCGGGCCCTGTCAGGTTGCGGGCCCTGTCAGGTTGCGGGCCCTGTCAGGTTGCGGGCCCTGTCAGGTTGCTGGACCTGTCAGGTTGCGGGCCCAGTCGGGTTGCGGGCCCAGTCGGGTTGCGGGCCCTAGCTGTCAGGGTGCAAGCCATTTCAGGTTGCGGGCCCTGTCAGGTTGCAAGCCCTTTCAGGTGGGCCCTGTCAGGTTGTGGGCCCAAGGCAAGTTGACCCTTTGCCCTCCACTCTTGGCATCCCTGAAGGAAGCAACAAAACTAACTTAATTAAACCCAAAAGCCAACTCTAACTTTTGCCGAAACTGCTCAAACAGAACGGAACACGAAGCGGCCCTACCTCGTACCCAGGGCTTTTTGCTTCTGTGGTTGGATGGTCAGCGAAAAAGGCCCTGGCTTCGGCTGGTCTGTTTTTCAACCTGATTGGTCAATGATTTTGAATGTAATTATTCAATATAAGTGGGAATAATTATTATTTTGGTGGAACGAGAGTGGAGTGACAAATTTATAATTAGTTCTTGAAGGACTAAAGTATTTAGTAGCCTAAATAAGATTTTTGACATTTCGCTTGAGATACAGCATGAATTGGGGAAAGACAATACATCACAAAACAATTCGGTCCAAATTAAGTCTTTGTACATTTTGTATAGACAAGTATTTGCTTCGTTTCAACATACATTTCTCACATGTGTCGTTTATACATTGTTGATTTCAGGAAACGTACAGCGTTATAGTCAAATAAAGATTGTGATACGAATATATAATGACCGGAAGCAAAATGTCCTGGGTACGATGTTGGAAGGGGCCCAAAGTTTTGTTTTAACCATCTTTAACCCCCCAATGCTCTGCGCGTCAAAAAGCCTGTCAGGTTGTGGGCCCTGCATGTCAGATTGTGGGCCCTGTCAGGTTGTGGGCCCTGTCAGGTTGTGGGCCCTGTCAGGTTGTGGGCCCTGTCAGGTTGTGGGACCTGTCAGGTTGCTGGCATTGTCAGGTTGCGGGCCCTAACAGGTTGCGGGCCCTGTCAGGTTGCTGGACCTGTCAGGTTGCGGGCCCTTTCAGGTTGCGGGCCCTGTCGGGTTGTGGGCCCTGTCAGGTTGCAAGCCCTTTCAGGTGGGTCCTGTCAGGTTGTGGGCCCAAGGTAAGTTGACCCTTTGCCCTCCACCCCTGAAGGAAGCAACAAAACTAACTTAGACCCAAAAGCCAACTCTAACTTTTGCCGAAACCGCTTAAACAGAACGGAATAGGAAGGGGCCAAAGTTTTGTTTTAACCATCTTTAACCCCCCAGTGGTTTTGTCCACCAAGTTGAATGTTCTCTAATGGCAGAAGAATGAAAGAGAAACATTAGACAGACGGAAGGATAACATGCACTTAGTCTTAAGCTCTGCACATCAAAAAGAAAATGAGAGTTGAGAAGCGAGAGTTTGCGTGAGAGTTTTCTCAACTCTCATGCCCCGGTCAAACGAGAACAAGAATTGCATGAGCGTTGATGAAAGTTGACTGGATATTACTGTGCACGTGGCAAAAACTCTCATCAACTCTCATCAAAATTTGAACCGGTTCCAAGTTGATGAGAGTGCATGAGTTTTGCAACTCTCATATGAACTTTCGTCAACTCTCACCCTCGTTTGGCCGGGATTTTAGATATACACTATTACTGTAGTCATATATAGATAGACAGACAGGCAGAGAAACAGAACGAAACAAACAGACACAGGCAGAGATGGATTTAATGATAAACAGAATGTAAGTATATTGTATACAGTTCATTGATATTATTGGCAATATTAGATAATTTAGCCTGAAATTTTAGCTCTTTGTACCCGGGCTGAAATTTTAGTCTGGGCCATTGTTAAGAGGAATTTGCCGTAGAAAATTCACCCAAAATTGAGCTACAGGTGAATTCGTTTGATGAAATATAATGCGTCGCCGCCTGTATATTGGACAGAAATGCTTGAAAATGCCTTAATTTTATTTCATTTATCTTCGTAACAAGGCAATAAAGGGTAAGTCATAGTTGACATATTAAATCAGCATTTAAAGATAATTGGAATAAGAACCTCTATTCCGATTTATTGATTCATGCCTGGGTTAACTTATTGTAAATACGCTAACTGAAATCCGTGTTAGATCCTTGCTCGGAGTACTCTCTAACTCACATTTACACTTCAAAAACTATCCCGGTGTAACAGGAAATATGTCCCCAAGAATATATGGTCCCCCTGGTCTGGGGGCCAAATTTAAGGGGGGATGGCAAATTTTCTGGGACACCGGTTTAGTTTTCGTTGTGTTCGGGCTTATTTACCATACAGTATACTTGAAAGTTGTACCTTAAAATTTCAATACTGTTCATGTGTCTTACACCATTATTTTTTGCCCTTATTCGTATGACTTTTTATCCAGGTTTTCGCCCACAAACCAGAAATTTGAGGGCATTATTTTCTGGCTAAGCTTCAGACCCATTTCAAATAATTTTTATATCAAACGAAATCTTTAATGTTACTGTAGGTACCACAAAACCTGTCTGTAAGAGTAGACATGTGGGGATTTCCTTTAAACTTCCCCTTTTAAAAGCCTGAAATACTTTTGACCTAATTTCTATAATTTGGACAAGTTGAAATATTGGTGTTAATTGCCAACTTAAGCGAACCTAGAAGGCAAATAGTTGTTTAAGTCAACTATCAATGGATTTAAATGACAGGATAATTATTTTATTTAGTATAAAAATCTGAAATTTCAATCAAAGCTGGCGTTCCAATACCATAAAGCATAGTGGGGACATTTTTTTGGACGCCCTGTACTGAGAATTTAGTGCAGCTGGTTAAAAAATAGCGGATGTAATTTATGCAGGTATTCGTATTTCCCATATAATCAAGAAAACAATTTCAGCGTCAGCTTAGGCTTAGCTCAATTAAGATTTGAGCTCAGACGTACCTAAGTGTTTTTGCAAGTAGTAGTACGCCAACTATATATAATAGGACAAAAGTGACAGAGAGACTTAAGTCATATAAGTTAGAAGTCTTATTTTCCTTATTACCAGAGGTAATTGCAAGCTATTGTGAGACAACTTTCCAGAAGATATACCATTTACCTGAACCAAAGCTTCCTGTAAAATATGCTCGTAAAATTGGAAACCAACCTACGGCAGAGGAAAATCCATTTAATGCTTGGTAAGATACCTACTACCGTATTTACTCGATTGAGCGCCGCCCCCGAATGAGCGCCGCATTTGAGATAATTTTTTTTAAAGAGCGCCGCCCCCGAATGAGCGCCGCACCAAACAGTGTAAAAACTTTCCGCCGTCAAAATGGAGACATTTAGTAACAAAGACATTTAAAACTTGTGTATTTCATTGTTAAAATTCTTGTTGTAATTCATAACTAAAAGATTTTTTTAAAGAGCGCCGCCCCCGATTGAGCGTCGTCCCCGAATGAGCGCCACATCTGAAGCTCTGAAAATTTAAAGAGCGCCGCGGCGCTCAAACGAGTAAATACAGTATACATATATGGTGGATGTAAAATAACGTATCCTGGCGTTTGTGAGTACATAACCATTGCCATGGTCTGGATGTTCTAATATAAGTATATTTTCGGGAGTGGTATTCTTGTTTCAAAAACAAATTTTGCTTTAGCTGGTTACAGAAAGCTAACTTTCTCACCAATTCTAGAAAAAATAAACAAAGAGATGATTGTTTAATGTCACTGTTGATATGAAAAGGTGACGAAATAAATAAAATAAAAATTACCAATGTAATCAGATCATACATATATATGCCATAATTTAAATTCAAAATTGTAGATTTAATGAAGATCACAATGTTTATATGGTCCGTACTAGGTACTGGAGATGTGATATTTCTGGTGCTCCAAATGGTAAACTACATGGTAAAACCATCGCCATAAAAGATAATATCTCAATCGCTGGTATTCCAATGATGAATGGATCACAACTTCTAGAGGGTTATATTCCTGATATTGATGCCAGTGTTGTAACCCGGGTATTAGATGAAGGTGGAAGAATTCTTGGCAAAGCTGTTTGTGAAAATATGTGCTTTAGTGGAGGAAGTCTTACGGCTGCAAATGGACTTGTGAAGAACCCCGTGGATCCTTCAAGGATGTCTGGAGGATCGTCTTCGGGATGTGCTGTTCTGGTAAGTTACTATACCAACTCGTTGGAGTCGGTTCGAGCATAGATAATCGAGAGAGACATCGCACCAAAACATGCAGCCAAGTTCAGATGATTAAAAAGTTAACCTGGAGCTTTGTACTAAACAGAATGAGGGCAGCATGCATGATCATCTGTGCACATTCGTTGGCAGGTCTGCAAATTAGTGTCGGTCATCGGACATTGTCTGGCCAAATTTTACCTTTTGTCGGATCAAAGCTTTTTATCACCGTACATGTGACCGACCGATTTAGGCTGGTCAAATCTCCAATCTCAAAAAAAATTGTTCACTTAACACATTTTTTATTAATGAAACCAACAAGAAAGCAATATAGACAGCACTTCGATCTCCACTATTCCTTGCTGCATTAGGCCGTAAGATTTAAGTCTAAATCTACATCACCTTTGTATATAACATGGTAGAAATTAAAGTTATGTACTAGAAGTTACTATCGCAAGGAAAATGCTGCCTCATCCCCAAGGGATCAAAGGCAGCATGCACAATTTGCTGAATAAGGGGCTGTTTATATGATCCCGCTTTGCCAGGACGAGATATGAGGCGGGACGATTTCGTTGTATTGAAATAAGTCATGGTCTACAATTGACAACATTTGAGTTCTGTTAACCAGCATTTGAACTTTCATTTAACCTAGTGATTGAAATACATCAAAATCATCCCACTTTCCATCATGTAAACAGCCCCTAAGATGCCTGTTCAGAATGTAGGAAAAGTGCATTTTGAATACCAAAACACCTTGCACAATGTCAAAGGTTAGCTAAATATTCTAATTCTTCTTAGATTGCCACTGAATACTGTACAATATCATATAAATAGAGAATAATACTTGATATAATAATAACAATAATAATAATAACAATTTCATATGGCACCTTGAAGGCTATGTTCACAGAACAACTTAACAATCTGCTGATGGGGAGACAAAATTTATTTGTTGACATTTTTGTTTAATATGTCTGCTTCAGATGATACTGTTCATGGCTATAGCTTGCCACTGAATACTGTACAATATCATATATATATATATATATATATATATATATATATATATATATATATATATATATATATATATATATATATATATATATATATATATATAAACAATAATAATACTTGAATGAATCATAGGACATGTAGAATTTAATTAGCCTCCTCCGCAGGCATCGCCTTTAGATTATCGGGCAAAATTTCTTGCAGGCAAAAAAACGAGATGCCTGCGGAGTTCATGTGGTTACGAAACTATATAACTGTTGATGTGTTCATGTGGCTACTAACTCTTGACGAAGGGCCTTCGCTCGAAATGTCGAGTTTCGGCTTGTTTTTCTCAGGTA